TAATATATATTAATGCTTGCAGCACAACTCATAGATATTTCTGAAAAGAAAGATGTGTATAAGAGACAGGGCATATCTAGGAATCTGGAAATGGGGGGGGGGCTAATGGGGTGTGAAGGTGAAGTGGGGGCCTCGATGATTAGGTGAGGGGTGCTGGATGGCAAAATAAGGTGATTTGAGGTGATTCTTAACTAATTGAGCATTATCTTTTATGTTGCTTCAAAAATTTTCAATGGGGAAAAATGGGTGTGATAAGCCACTGAGAACACACCTTATTTGATAACTTCTTAATCAACACTGCTATAAAAATAGGAATTGTTCATTTAGATGATTCAAAGTTGGCAACAAGAATAAAGAAAATTTTCATTGAAAAATTATGTTTGAATTCTTCAAAAAGTTGTAAATCAAGCCTTAAATAATTTTTCAAAACCCAAAAATACATTAGCACACAACTGTTGATTAATTGGTATTGTCATCGTAAGATAAATGATATGGAAAATTTAATGATTCTACGTATTAATTTTAATTGCCAAATTCAATTTCTTCACTTTTTAAATCTATTTCTATTTCATATATTTCATTTCATTCATTCTGCAGAAATACATAAATAAAACAAAATGATAGAAATGACAAGTAATCAGAGAGGCCTGACAGGATGACCAAAAGGTGTCTTAAATCACTAGCAAGCAGCTGTCTAATGATGAAGAAGAGAAGATACATCAAATAAAAATCGACACAATATTCAAATCTATCTTAAATATGTGTGCAATATCGAAAATATTATAAATAAATATAAAATAAAATATATTTTTACATATTAAAGAAGTGATCATGTCTAAAGAACATCAATTAGTGTACATTGATTTATTGATGGTGTCAACTTATTGTGCAAACCAGCTGTTTGTAGGAAAAAATATTCAAAATTGAGTTTTTGGTGTTTTTAGATTCTGCATGATTTTTTCTTTAAACAGTGTTTTTTGATGGAAATTGGCTGAGTATTACGGAAGTTATGAATAATTAATTCATTGGATATCAGCCAAGTAGGTTTTGATAAAACCACTTCCAAAGATTCCAAAATCAATAGTTTATTATTAAGATTTGTATTTACAATCAATTTTAATATACTTTTCTGTTAGATTTAGTAATTGACATTTTGAGGAAATGTTCTTCAATATATCTTCTTTTATAAAATGCAAAAATTTGAAAATTCTGATTCTCCGACCTTTTGGATGCTTGTGGGAAATTAGAAATTGTGACAAATGGCAGGTTTTGCCAGAGCTGGTCTCATATTAGGATGGATATCAGCTTTGTCAATCCATTGAAGAGATTGTTATGGCTAATTTGATAAATGATTATTTATAATATTTACTCTTTTAAAACACTTTACTTTTAATAAAAATAAATGTTAAAAACTTTTGAAGATACTGTGTTATTTGTAATTCTTGTATGTATATAGTCCATGGTCTGGTGCCTTTATGTCCTTAGTGACTTTTTGGTTGAATTAACAGCTGTGATAATGATGTACTGTTTTAGTGGTTTGAGTCAATGTCCTACATTGTAAATCTTACCGTATCACTGTTTCTACTAGATACAATACCAGCTTGTATCCTCTCCATCATGGAAGTTACACCCTGAAAAAATTTAAATAATAAAGCGTGAAATTACTAACACATAAAATTGTATCTATTAAACATAAATAGAGATTTATTGATGGTATCAATTGGAGTGGAGTTAAATAGCTTGGTGGTTAAGATGCTTGCCTTCCAATCCCAGGGTCCTGGGTTCAATTCCTGCCAGTGCTGCAGAATGTTTTTTCTCACAACCAAAACAACTCCACTCCCTAAACCTCATATTGAGATTTAGTTTATGTAAAGCATCATGTGTGCATGTCTGTCTTGCGTAAGAGATTATCAACTACAGGACGGTGATATATTCGCTATTGACATTTGTTGGTGCATGAGTTGTACGCCTAAATAAATAATTTAAAAAATAATACAACAGAAGAACTGTCACAGAGCCTTTCATAAATAAACCAGGAAAATAAGGAAATATATAAATAACCACAAACACAAATAAAAAATATAAATGAATAAACAAATATATAAATATAAAAATATAATATATATTAATGCTTGCAGTACAACTCATATATTTCTGAAAAGAACTGTTGTTGTTGGTTGAAAATATCTCGACGTTTTGATTGAGTTGGTTAAATTTTCTTCGAGAATAATATCTGTAGAAATTCCAGAAACAGTGAAATACTTATATGTTTTTGGTAGTGAGACTTGCTGCTGATTGGTTGAAAACTAAACAATAGCTGAGACTATGTGTGAAAAGGCTAATACAAAAGCCAAAAGGGTGGGGCATGTCAGATACTATTCTCCTGAAGATGATTGAAGCAACTCAATTGAAACGTCGAGATATTCTCAACCAACAGCAACAGTTATTTTCAAAACTATTTACGTGGTGTACTGCAAGCATTAATATATATATTATTACTTTGCCATGCAAACTATAAATATATACTAATAAACAAAAAAACAAAGAAAGAATTAAACAAATGAATAAACAGATAAACAGCAATGGACATCAAGAATCTCCAATCTTTGAATATCACCTACTGGTTAGGGCAAGAGGTACCTTGATCACAGACCCACAACTGCCTGCTAAACTTCTTACAGTATTTGTACCAACTCACCTGTTCTAATGTGTCCAACGAATGGTGGTGAGGGTCATGACTACTCATGCTACTACGCAAATTTCTGAGGGCGCTCCTCAATGTCTGCATTTCTTCGGTGGACTAGAAAACAATGTAACATAATATTATTTTAAAATTTGCTAACATACAGGGTGATTTCAGAACATATTATGTTCTTTTTAGGTTTTAACTGTTGTACTACAAAATATAGTTTGAATACATAATAATATATACATAAATACTTCATACAAAACAATAAACTGAAATGCAGACAACCAATGATTACAAATGGTTGTAGCTCATTCACATTCAACAGTAAGGGAGTATGAAAATGACCCATTAATAGATTGTCCTAGATGAGGTTTTACTTTATATAGTGGTTGATAACCTAATAAACTTTTCTTATGAAATTAAAGGGTTTTATAGGAATTCAACCAAGAATTAAATCGGGAACCCAGAAGGTTGGAGTTACTAATCTTTGAGCTCAAGCAGCCTTTTCACTAAGCTATAGCTCCACATCTTAGACACTGACGATTGTGGGACACTAGGTTAAGAACAAGACTTGCAACATGTACTTACCTCTCTGTATGAACTTTGGTCTTTGAGGCCAAATCTACTTTCTATACTACAAAGTTTATTATCTTGTGATGTGATGTGCATGGATAGGCTGGTCTAGATTGTAAGAAATAAAAGAAAAATTAACTTTAAGTTATTGCATTTCTGAATCTAATTGGAACTGTAAATAATATAAATGATTATATAACAAAATATCAGATTACATGCTTATCTAGAATGGGCTGGAATGCAATAACTTAGGAGTTAATTTGAAAATAACTTAAGTGTTAATTTGAAAATGGATTTGGGTTGGACTTTTTCGATTGTGAAACAAAGACTTATTTCCAGTAGGGTCTTTCTGGTTGTGAATTGAAAGTACATTGAAAGACAATCCCCTACATTTACTACTGAATAATAACATTTTAAATGTACATGAGACATATATTTGTGCTACTTCAACTTGCATTTTAGCCCTCCAGGTAAAAAAAAATGAGAATAAACGCAACAGAATTGAACCAGGCAATAAATGTCACACATTGCGGCTACCAATGTAGTTGAGGTAAGCTGCTTTCAATTATTATACAGTAGAACCCCAATTGTACGTACGGTACAGGACCGAAAGGCGTATGTAAATCAGGGGATTCGTAAAAATGAAGGTTGGGTAGTTGTTCATCACTCGCTCAGTCCATGTGGTGTTAATTAGGCCTAAATACAATTAACGTTGCTATGGAATTAAATACTTTGCATACGGTTTGTTTATTGTTATAGTATTGAAATATTAAACATTTACAGAAACTAACAAATCTCTATTTACTGTGGCCCTGAACGGGGCCATTTGTTTTGAGTATTTTGGGGGTTTTTGATGACATCATCATCTGTACGAGGCGTACGTAAAACTGAGGCTTTGTATAATTGAGGTGCGTAAAAACGAGGTTCTACTGTACGTCAGGTTGTAAAGATGCTGAGCCCTTCAAAAGAATAAAACGCTATGAAAATAGAAATTTAGTTAAGAATATATTATAAAGAACCAGTTTGGTCATTATAATATATTAAAAACTAAATTATAATATATTATAATTATAAAGAAACACTTTGATCACTATAAGGCCTAAAAAAACTTTTTGTTTGCTGTCGCATTGTAAAAATTTGAACAGGGGCGGGTGGAATCATGAAAACTACGCGATTATCTTTTTTTTAACAGAAAAACGATCAATTTAAAAAAAAAAAAATTTAAATGGTAAAAATTTACATGTAACACGGATCTGTGCCAAAATCGAAAAAGTGGTTTTCATTTGGTCTTTTAAACTTAAAAAAAAAAAAAATTTGAAAAAAAAACCAAAAACCCGCTCCTAATTTTCGGGATTTTAGGGGCGGCGGATGATAGCAAACAAACAAGTTTTTTTGTAGGCCTAATATATTATAATTTAGTTTAGAATATATTATAATGATCAAACTGGTTAATTCTGCCAAGCCAACCTCTTCTAGCCTATCACTGAGTTGCTGTATCTGACTGTGGAACTCTTGTAAACCACCCCCTCCCTCTTCAAGCTGATTTTGAAGCTCAGTCTAGAAAAAAAGACAATTAAATGTCATTAGGAAAACTATTAAACCACCATGACAGTTAATATTTATATATTATGTTGATTTGTTAAGAAATAAGTATTTATGCAAAAGGTGAAACCTTGAGAAACCTTTTATTAATCAACCAACCAATCAATCAATCAATTAATCAACCAATCAATCAATCAATCAACTTGTAAACTGAATTAAGTTCTGTCCACACTATCAAATATATTTGTGATTTTTGCATATATGGGAATGATGATGTCATATCCATCCATATATGGACAAATGATAGGTATTTGTCACATGGAACTTAATAGTGTAAATAGAGCTTTAGGGTGAAACATATGTAAAACATAATCTTCTAAAAATTAAATCTAATGTTAAAATATGGGAGGCCAAAATATGAGAGGCCAAAATGGTCAAACACATGTTATATACATACCCTGAGGGAGTTGAGCTCTTGCAGCTGTTGTGTCAGCATTTCAATTTGTTCTTGCTGTTGTTGCAAGAACTTATCCTTCAGTTGTAGCTGCTTTGTGACATCGTTTGCAATTCTATTTTTTTCTTCCAGTTGCCGTTTTAAATCAGCCTACATACAAGAAAAAAATCAAGTAATATTGAAGGAATGAAAGAAAGTTGGAATACTAAGTTTAAATTAGAAATTAATTTTATTATATTTATCAAATTTGAGTTTAACAGGCACATATACATATGATATTCACCAAAGTCCAATTCTTGATATAATACTACAGAAACTGACAATAAATTAAATAAGACAAATATTAAGGAGTACTATTAAATATTTTAGTTGCTTTAGAGATCTATATTAGAAACATTACTATTATTTAATAGTATTATATATGGTTAATCACATACTTCTTGATTGCAATCCGAGAGCTTTCTAGTAGCAATAGGCAAACACAAGGTTTTGTGTTCTTGTAAGCAAAATCTTGTACATTAGCCTGGCATTTGGATTAAACCAGACTTCTGCAAAGGCTATGATTACTATGTATGTTTGATGTTATTCACAACCCTGTAATGTATTGACCTCAAGATGGCTTTATATAAGCTTCAGTTGTGTACTGTAATAGACTTTCCGTTAGTCTAAAATTTATTGATTTTTCCTAGTGTTAGAAACTTTCAGAGAGCACCTATTGCGTCTGCCTATAATAGCGAATCTTTTTATATTGTTGAAATTAACTCAGGCACATTATAGTATGGAACGCTATTGGTGCAAAGAAGTAATGTGGAACGACATTGGTGCCAAAACCTATTTTTAGCCAATTTCACTGATTAAGACAAAATTTAGGGACTAGAATCCAGTCTCAGTACTGTAGTCACGTCAGATTGGTTTTGGTCATGTTAATGGCAATATACCGACAATTTCATTTTCTATCTTTACATGTTATTTTTTCGGTTTTCTAGTCTTCAGCAGTAATATATAGAAATTTAAATAGTATATTTACATTCTCAGACTCCAGGTTCTGCTGGGTAAACCCCACCCTCAACAACTCAGCTTTCATCTGAAGTAATGCATTGTCTTGGTCAGTTAATCTCGACTGTACACCAGCCTACAATGACAAAAGGAGAAATCATTGAGATGTAGATGTATCTTTGTTCAAATAAATATACACTGTTTTAAGATAATAAACCTAAATAAAATTCAATATTTAATTTAATATTTGAATTATCGACCAGTTTTTAAGTTATTCATTTTCGATAGAAGAAATAGAACATAAATTTTGCTTTCAATTAACAGATGCATTAATAATACCATCCTATATTCTTACATAGATTCTATTTGCTGGCAATCTATTTTAGGTCTATCCATGTAAATGTCGTCTTTAATATTTGTGGCAAAGACAATCCAAAGCAGTCATTTATCGCAAAAATCAATTTTAATTATTAATACAGGGTTTAGCTGTAAAATGATAGTTATAAAAGGGTAAAATAATCTGACATTTCGTTACAAGTTATATGAGTTTAAACATACAGCTGTTTAAAGAACAGTTTTTGAGAAATCAGCCTTCAAATCATTAAAAACTGTTGTTTTAACATCAGAAAAGAGGGAAATAACAGCATGGCATGATGTATAGATATATAAAGTTTCGTTTAGTGTCATAAAATGATTTAGAAAATTTAGTTAAATAATCTTCACTTTGCATTTATTCATTTTTTTATTTATCTTATCATAGCATTGTGTATCTTATTTGCTTTATACAAAAGGTTCCTTGTGGAATGTTACCTTTGCACCCTGTAAATTGCGACATTCCTGTTTCATCTCTGATAGCTCCATTTTTGTGCTTTTAAGTTCTGCTTGTCGTTGATCCAAACGAGCTTGTAATACCACCTGCAATTTCAAGACAATTTAGCAATAAGTTTTCATTTTATGTATTTGTCAGTTAAAAAAATACAATATAAAACATACAAAATAGAATAGTTGCCTGAAGTTTAAGCCAAGAGTAAACTTCTTCAAATAGAAAAGGATCATTTCAGTGGAAACATCTTAGTCCTCAGTCCAAGTCGAAGCATCTCAAGGTCTAAACATTGGGCCATTGAATACTACTATAATCAAAAACTCCATACGACATAATCTATGATGCTGATGTCTGGATGCTTTTTAGATTTTAAAATATACATAAATATACCATATTCCTCAAATAAAAAGTAGCTATTTGATTTGAAATATATTTTAATAACTAAGTATTAATATGTAAGGAATCAAATTCCAGTGCCTTGGACTCACAACCTCTGTGATGGCAGGCTGCCTAAGAACAATTCACTGCCTAAGCCTAATAATGAAATACATCTCACCACATAGTCTTTGTAGGCAGTCCCGTCAAATTGGTCTTCTTCGGCATCTGAACCAACCCCTTCTTCATCTGCTACCTTGCCACTTAGCAACTACAAGATAAACAGATTGTTCTCAATAATAGCTATTTTGTAATAAGTGCAGTGGCGTCACAGAGTTTGTGGGGCCCTGGAGCTGACTGTCTTTGGGGGCCCTAATAAGTCAGGCCTGTAGGTAGGATTTTCGATGGGGAGGTGAATCTTGCAAGTGAAACAGACAAGGAGGAGGGCTAGGACACTGCAGGGGTGGGTGAAGCCCCCGGAAACTCTGACAAATTAGTATTTTGAGCGCCTTATAAATGTATTTCTTTTCTAAGTAAATTTTTATTCATTTGGGTGTTGTTACGGACCTAAAGTTGTAACTTTTTATGTCTTTTACATCTGTAGGCATACAGATAGCATTTAATTGTTCATAATGGATCCATCTCCAATCACTGGAGCTGATAATTCCCAACAAATTCTGTACCACAGTTATTAAAAATCAATGGCTTGAAGAACTGGCAAATAATATGCAATGCATAGCTAGTCAGAGCTCGGGCTCAGAGCTTATGGTATTTACGAACTGTAAACTACGTTGTCAGAGAACATAGAATGACAAACCTATGGGTAGAGCCCCTTCGGGGCCCCTAGGGTTCGGGGGCCCTGTGGACCGCCGCATGAGAGTGCATAGGAGTTACGCCACTGAACATACAGCTTCAATAATGTTCTTCTTAAAGGACAAGCGATAACAGTAAATGGATATCCATAAAGCTGTTTCACTCGTCCTCAAACTACTGACCAATCAGAAGAGTGCCAAGAATACGGTTCCACAACCCCACATGTTGACATACATTTTACCATAGTGTTTTGTGGGAACTTAGCAACAATATCCAAGGGGCGTGGCTTAGCGTAAAGGCCCATTACTCAGATACAACAGACCTCAGAAAGTATTACCATTATTTTGTTTATAGAGAACTGAAATTTGTTACCATTTCTTGGAGGCTGAGGAGCATTTTCTTGGTGTCCTCAACATCTACTTTCATTGCTTCGTGATCGTCGTCAATATCACTCCACGCAATTGACGTCCTTCTTGACAGATTACCATATTCACTACCTGTTCAAATCAGACAAATAAGCATATTAACATAAATTGTTTTGTAAATAAAAAATTTCAAAGAAATTATATTGGCAGGTAAAACATAAATATTTTAATAATAGATAAAACAATAGCAATGATAACCATAATATTAAATATAGCAATTAATGTTTTGATATATATAACATTGAATCTTGAAGTAGTTTTTCTTTATTCCTTTAAAGCTTTGTTTACACCATCAAGTTTTATCTGAGAATTACCCATATTTGTGTGTGGTATGAATTTATCGTTACCAGATATAAATGTAATAGCACATAATCGTGCCATGGACAAGTTGGATAATCACAAAAAAAAATTATACTATGAAGAGAGTATACTGGAATTTAAAGTGCCTTGTACTTTTATATTTGCATTATACACTCTTTAAAATAAAATATCAAATCAAATCAAAATGTATTTTCCTTTTGAACATAAGAAAATTAACAGAAAATTCACTTCTTGGTAAACAAATGTGGAAAAAATTAAAAAAAAAGACCACAGAAAGCAACACAAGGAGAATGCAACTAAAGGATGAGGGATCAAATAAGCCTTAATTTGTTTTTTGACTGATCCCCCATAAGACAAAACATATAGTAATGAAAATACTATATTATTCCAATTAAAAAAAACTTGATTATAAAAATATTTTTTAAGTTTAAATCTAACCAATGATTTTACTCCATACCTTGATCAGAATGATCTGATGCAAAGCTTGCAGTCCTAGAGGGCAGCGGACTGTTCCTAGATTCCAACAAGGCACGTACCGGTGTTGCCGTACGGCTGTGTAAAGGTGTATTGCTTGCCGATGGTGCTGGGCTTCCACGTGGACTACAAACAAGAATTTAAGTCTATTATTATAAGTGGTCCCAAGTTGGGTGAGGCCATTTCATTGTGATTAATGAGAATGCTTGACATATCTTTCTTGATATATAAAACTATTCTCAACAAACAATAGTTTTTTTCAGAACTATCTACATGGTGTAGAGCAAGCATTAATATAATATCTTTATGTATTATGCTGTACGTGGTGATACTCGGAGCCAGCTAATTTCAGGGAGGCAATCAATATTAGTAAATATATGCAATCATTCTAAATTTATGGTAGATGGGTTAATTTGCAGGCGTTTGCTTGTGGGAGTGCAGAAGACTTCGTCAATTTCCAGACGATTCCTATGACATGTTGGAGACTTGGGACTCTTGGCCAATTGGAGTTCACAGAGCGCCACAGTCCTTTGTGGCCCTTTATTTTGACAAAGTTAATCATTTTAATGAAATGGATACTAACATTTTTTACAGGTTATGAAAGCTTATCAAACAATGTATGTTAGGTCGCACAAATACCTGATTACATTTGCATAAGTGTTAGCACTTCAGCACATTTTACCCAATTTCCTGTTATTCAATGACCAAAGCTGTCATAGAATGCCAGGTACAAAATATACATTTTTAAGCAAAGAATGAGTACATTTAACCAAAACCCAGACAAAAGACGAAATTATATTTTGCGGCATACAGTACCTTAAAAGCAACCTTACCTTCTACATCTCTGTAAAGGATCCTTTTCCATTGAAACCGGACTGGACCGGTGGAGGCCAGAGTGACCATGCAAGCTACACATAGATGCATGCAAGACAAGTTTAAAATAAATACAATCACAGACAGAAAAGCAAAAACAAGTAAAAAACAATAATAATTTAAAGAGGAATTAAAACTGCAGAAGCTATGGGAATATTTCCCAGTGAGTGTTAAGCTTACTGACCCAACACACATATGCAAGAATATTAAACAGAAACACAATAACTACATCAATAAATAATAATTATGCTCATTAATAAAAAGCAGAAAAGAAATTAAATCCACAGAAAGCACAGAAATTGTCATTTATTAATTTGTTATTGAAACACATTTTCCAGCTTAATGTTGTATTAACATTTTAAAACATTAGTTTTGTTAGTAAACAGTAACTGTTATTTAGTAAAGCAAAAAAACAAAAAACAAACAAACAAACTACTATATGTATGTTATTGTTACAAACAAATCTACCTACCGAGCTGCTTGCTCCCGCCCCTTGGACCTTCGTAACGAGCCACCAGCCATTTGTACATCTTTACGAGCATCCCGGATTGCTGCAGCTGCCCCAGCAGCCATCGCAGCAAATGATTGCTGCCTCTGTGGCTTGTGATGTGGAGTGCCTTGTGGGGTTTGCGGTGTCTGTTTCACGCTACTTGGCTTGTAGTGCGCTGCTAACGCCAGGATCAACCGCATAATAGCTTTCAAATTACCATCAACAATATCTAGATAAATGAAATGTTAATCTTATTTAAATTACTTTTCCATTAGTTCACAAAATAATGCCATTCAAGCGTAATTATTAATCTAATTGTTTACCGCAAAGCATTATGGGTAAAATGGAGACTCCATCATAATGAAAACATATCACATCACAATACCAGTTAGTATTTTATAACGGATCTCATAGCTTCAAAACATTTTTTTTCTTCAGTTCCTGCAACTTAAAACAATTATACTGTACACCAGTAGTGCATGTTTTTTAAAAATATTAGTATCTTGTTCAAAATCAGATCAAACTGCAAGAACGTGTCTTTTAATAAATACTGCAAAAACAGATACTCAAGACATGGCAATATGTATTAAAAGTCCAATTTCCTTGCACCCAGAAAAGTCGATGCTTGTGTAGACAAGTGAATTAAGTTATGATTTTTGTTGCAGAATATAGCCCAAGATTGCTTAAACAGGTAATAATATTGTATTTTATTGCAATGAATATTGCATTAAAATATGTTGTGGTCTGTACTAATCCTGCCATACCTTTAGCGGACGTGTGGTGCATTCGTATCCTCTTAGATGCCATAAATTGTAATACCCGTTCAACGTTCTCCCGCATGGCGGTGGATGTTTGTGGATTATAGTCCACTCTCGCCAATGTCTCCCCAGCTATGGAAGAAATAGATTTAAAAACATCCTTACTAAACTGAATATTCAGTATGTGACATTGAAAATGAAGTAATTTCAAACTTGTAAGTTACAGTACCAGAGGTCCCAAGTTAGAAGTCAATACTGAGAGATCTGCATGTGCAGATCCAGGAACTTGAAATAGAAGGGGCCGGGGGCAGGACTTGTACAGATGGAGGGTCTAAGAAAAATTTATGATTATTGCACCTCTAGGTGTTAAATCTCTAAGATTTAACATTTGAATATAATTTTCTTTTTTTCTTCATTTTAAAAATAATTTTGAAAAATTTAAGGAGATTTTCCAAGAGGTTCTTGCTTGGTTGCGGTAGTGCATGGGGCTGTCCCAATTATCATGAGCTCCCACGAGTTCCAGGAATTTTGGAACCCCTGCAGTACCAGTTGAACAAATCAACAGTGATGCTCTCAATTACTGTAGTTCTTTAACCTTTATATGAGTGAGATACTTAACAAACTACTGGCAATCTCCAAGATGCAGTCATAACAGTTGCTAATAAAGTTTGATTTGTATTAGATATTGTAGATGTGAACAATGAATATAAGTTACTACCATAACAAAATTCAGAATAACCTACAGACAATTTCAATGAGGTGAACAAGGGCAACACCATCTTGCATGTCATGTCGTAGATCCTCCACCAGTCGACATCCTGTACGTTTCTTTAGCTGAGAGTTAACCCATGCTACATACGCTTGAAGTTGTTGCTGGAAAATATAAATAAATTGATTTACATTAGGTGTTCTAAATGGTAAATACATGCAATAAATAAGATTAAAAATTCTGTACGACAATCAGTCATTTTTCGTCATTAAAGCTGGAAACGTCGTCAGTCACTGGCTGACCAATCCATCTCTGCTCTCCAAGAGTTTTATGATGCGACGTGTCTGCTGTAGCAGTCTGAGTAGACCGGTGTTCAAAACAATGCAACACACGCCTCATCACAGGTTCATGGAATCCTGTTTGTCGATCACCATTGTGTGTCAATGGCCAGCACATCTTTTTAAGTCATTCAACAGAGAAAAATAAATACGATATACACATGAATACTAAAAATAACCATCTGTTTATGGTTCAAAATGGTTCACATTATAAACTGTGAGTATTAGCATGAATGAATACAAGGAAATAATTTAAACATTATTGTGAAACAAGGATACACAAACACATGCACAGTAGAAATACAAACCAGATGTTTATTAAGAGAAAAATTTACGAATATGGCTCGCTCAAATGATCTGTCGCTCATTACTGCAATAGTCTTCTATTTGCAGACCTATTCTGTTACAATGTTGCTAACATCTAATACAATATGCGAAGTCAGGTTTGAATAAAGTAAACTGTCGGTAGATATTGTAACAAGCCTCGGAACTTCAACAGATGGTTGATGACGACTACAGTATTATTATATGGACCATATAAATTATTAAAATTCATATTACAGCGATGAAATTAAATTGTTCTCAGAAAGATGATTAGAAGAATGAAGTACAAATATGTAAATAGTTTTAATATTTATAAATGTTTGGATAATCTAGTTCAGGTTTTGTAAAACTATCTATTATTTTGTAACCATAATTATATTTTATATCACTTCACCTGTACAATAACTTCTGATGAATGAAATGGAAAATCAGGTCATCAAATATTTATATTTTCTAATTACCAGGGCAACAGTAAATTGTTTCAGTTAATTGTACCAACTATTGAGTGGAAAATAAGAATTATGCTGGGCAATTGATACACACATTTTTTCCAGTTCATTTCATTTGTGTTGATTCTCTTCTTCAATATGATATTAGGTTGAACAAAGAAAACTTGGCATGGGCTTTGTGAGCTACTACCAGGCCTCTTTGTAGTGCGGACATGTGTTGATTGTTAAGTTCAACCAAGCAGAAACAGCCTGTTATTTTTTCATTGAAATTTATACAAATATCTGCTGATTATCAAAGCACACTTAAATTGGTAAACCACTCACTTTAATCCAGCTAAACATATACTCAAAATATATAAGATAAAACAAAATATATGACAGGGCACGAAATCCTGCAGTACTAGATTTCAAATCTCTTAAGACACCATGGGGCGGATTTAGGATTTGACCAGCGGTGGTGCATGATGATCTTCTCCACACCTAGCAAATTTTGAGAATATGGCACCTCTAAATGCTTATAAATGGCACTCTCACATTTTTTTGTTTAATATTTTTGTACTGTAATAAAAAAAAACTTTATTCCCTATTAATTTTCTTGTGAGACTCAAATTATCTAATTTATTAAACTCTGAATACTTAACTGACTCTGGATTAGTTGGAAGGGTGGTCATTGATGGTAAAAAAAGAACGCCTTTATGTTTTATATATTTTCTTTTCTAATACATGAAAAAGCAATGGTAAAATATTTGTATGTTGCTATTAATAATACAGTATTTTATAACTACTTCCTTGAATATTCTAGAAACCAAGTCCTGAAATACAGTACAGTGGATGAGATCCTATTGTCTACACATATTCCTTCCTGGTTACCTCCAGAGACTATTATTGTAAAAATTCACATTTGTGTATTGTTAAGTGCACACGAGTATACTTGTTTAAGTAAATAATAAAGTTACCGGTATCATAACATTTTAAATTTCTATAGCCTTATTGGTTGTCTTTGTAGTTTTATCTCATGATTTTTATCATTTACACTGTAATTGCATTTTATTGTATGTGAAGCTGGGCCTAGTGTCCATCCTGGAGGATCAGGCTACACGGGTTAAAGAAGAAATACATCAAAATAAATAACAAAATTATGAACCAAAAATAATTAATGAAAATAACAAATAAATTAATAAAAACAATGTACAACTTGAGCAGTCACTCTATAAGTGCGCCTGAATACCAAACAAAACGCATTCTGTGTATGATGGACGAATGCAGTATTTCCAGCCCTGTGTCTGAATACCGAACAAAACGCACTCTGTGTATGATGGACGACTCCAGTATTTCCAGCCCTGTGTTCCAACACCGAATATGTAGGCAGGCCATTCCCTTACATTCTTTTATGCTCAGGGTAAAAAACATTTTGGTGACCATGACCTTTGCTTCCAAAAATTTAATAATCTCTTTCTTCGAATATTATGTACCATTCCACTAAATTTTATGATGACCCATTCATTAGTTTTTGTGTAATCTTTCTAACAGACAGACAGGCAGCGGTGAATACATACTCCTTTGGCGCCTGTGTTAAGTTAAACAGCAACAATAAATATTTAATAACAAAAATCTAATTACAATAATTAATAACAATAATAATATTGACAGTCGGACAGTACTGAATTCTGTTTGAGAACATTTTTCTTTGACAATTTTAACAGTATAATTAAATGTATTAGAATATTAATATAGCTGAATATTTCTTGATGGTTTGGGTAACAGTACAGTTACTGTACAGTACATGTGTTTTTGGTTTTTTTTTATTATTATATCAAGATCAAAAATAATGTCCTATTCAGTACAAGTTTTCCCGGTACAGTAGTATTGCAATATTTCAATTACATATGAATTTGTAATCAGTTAAACAATATACTGTATACTACTCAGAAACTAACAAATTTGGATAGAAAAATTAGTAAATTTATGTTTTGGTGAGTGCAGTAGGCCTATCTAGGGGTATCATTAGTAAACTTCAAATAGTTCAACTTCTTTCTAACATCCTCCAGCACCGGTGACAAGCCAGTTTTGTTTGCTTTAATAGGCGCTTTAAAAATGTGTATTATTATTAATGTAATCGACAGTGTACCAACTTATTGTCTCGATTAAACAGATGGACACTTTATGGTTTGTCACCGCTAGTTTTTAGAATCTTAATAAAGAGGGGTATAGTACTTCACCACCCTCACTTTAAACCTCTTCTGACCTCTACATAAAGAATCACATGATTTTTTGGGCATTTTGATTGGTTGTGTCAGGTATTCAGTATATTTCAATCAACTATAAGACAGACACATTCATCCTGCCATTATTCACAGCTGTGCCCAAATTAACAGTCTGAGTAATATTGATCAACATTTTATTGATTCCTAGAACAGCGCATCTTATGCACACAGTTAGATATACACGCCTTAATCGGCAAATACCATTATCTGACTCATTCTCTCGGCTATTCATGCAGAAATGTTAGAAAACTCGTTGAAAAATGTTTGGATATCCACAAGATGGGACTAAAATAAACATTGACTTGTGCTTTATTCATTTTTGTGTACAACTGAGTAAAGATGAATAATCCCTTTTTTAAAAATTAAATATGAACATATATGAATTGATCTATTGTTATTCCTTACTATACATGCATTTTTTTTTTTTTTAAACATGAGTACTGTAATGGATTATATCTGTTTAACTCCATAGGAAAGCCCACTAGAGAAGCATATTTCTTATGGTACAAAATCTGTTTTCGAAAAAAAAAGTGGGTGGCATAAATTAATTCCTTAATCAAAAGTATAGAATGAGCTGTTTTGTGAATTTGATGTACTACATACAAACTGCCATGTCAATATTGCCTAACCAACACTCTCCTGTGCATATTATGCCCTCGAGAATTGAGACGTCAGGTATTGCCACATTATGTTGGAATAAATAACGAGCAAATTGAAGGGAAACGTCATGATGTACAATGGGATGACTTCCTGTATTATTACATCACAATGACAACAATAACATCAGTGACAACAATAACAAATTAATAAATAATTGTATGTAAAGAGTAAAAATAAGCCACTAGAATGAAGTAATGATGAAGTCAAGTCTTATTATTAACAAATATTTTAAGATGGGTCAGGGAAAAAATTGTGTTGGAGGGGGAAAGAAAATTACCTGTAGTAGAAGCCCGAGAAAAGGAAGTTCCCAAGTAGAAAAATCAACATGCTGTAGATAACCATAAAAATTTTTAACATTTTTAAATTTCAGGAAATGGAGAGATAGCAATGTATGCTGATATACTGTAGCATTTTCTGCTTTTTGTTTTGTTTTTTGTTTGTTTTTCTTTCTTTTTCATTCATATAGCCCGCTAGGGTCTTGTATCTATGTATATATTTCTATGGATATGAATTCCTAAATAAAGAGAGAAATGAAAAATATGTAATTTTGAAAATGATATTTGGTTCGGTGGTGCTAAATTTTACACAAATGAATTTTACAGAAACATATCATTTTTACATAATACAGTTACTTTCTCACTTTTTTTGAATAATTATTAATATCAATAAGCAAGAGAATACATGTCAGATTATTAATTAACTATAAATCATACAACAATAATTAATTAATATTCTATGGAATCTATGACAATATAATTGCAATATCATATGTAGAAAATGTAGCACCATATGGCATAAACAAGGTTCTAATTCATTATATACTTCAACAAGGCTATCAATACAGTTTCAAGTATGGTAGGTAGGTATATCAGACCTACTATACTGTTATTGGTTGCTATCACAGGTTGGTGCAAGGAGTTACAACACACTCTACCACTGTTGACAAAAGTACTGTATATTAATTCTTAGTACAAAAATATGGATTTTGTCCGACACACTGTAGCATTTATACAATGATGCACATAAAGATCAGAGCACAATTTTTTTTTATTAACAAACTAACTGCAAATTAAAGAGTCCTAATTCACTACAGGTTGTTACTCTGTGCGCCACCTACCAGGGGTGTATC